TCTGTAAACTCCACGACGATCCTCTTGATCCCAGCAGCTCTTAATGCAGCTCGTACAGTAACTGTGTCCACAGGCTGTAGTCACTGGATCCTTCAGTTGATCCAGACAAATTGGACAGCAGAACTGGTTTGGATCTAGTGCTGCCATTTTACCACGAACACTGTTCAAATTTAGTGTCGTCATCTGTATGTGAGAGCGGGAGGAACTTCCTACTTCTCAGGCTGCAGTACAATAGGTGTGGTTTTGGACTGAGGCCAGACTGAGTAAAGCAGACTGGGCAAACATTGGAGTTTATGAATAGAATAGTTTATAATACAGATTATACACAGCTATTAGTATAACTGTTACTGTATTTTTCCTTGAAATAAACTGTAAAACTTTCAATTTCATGTTAGGTGTAAGGCAGAAGTTATTCTGTATTGCAGATAAATTTCCATGTCTATTTAGATGTGTGTCTTTTGACAGCTTCTGTTCTGCTGCCATTAGGCACCACAGCGCCTCCTGTTGACATGCCATCCCCCACCCAGCCATAACATGCCTGGAAGCATCTCCTCTTTGCTGTAGACAAAGTCCAGTGCTCTTGCTTTTTTAAGAAAAACATAGAACAAAGCGGGCATTTATACAGATTTACATATGCAAATATACATAATTATGGGCAGGTTGGGGGGGTGGCTGTGGGCTCGTTCACATACGTAAAATTTCACGCTCATTGGGATTTATAAAGGGAATGTGCGTAGATCTGTGCTTACGCACAGTTTTATGCATCTGGATTTTTTCTTGCTTACGCACATTCCTAGTTTTGTCTGTACGCCATGTTTTAGTGTGAATTCTACGCACGTCGTTATACATGAGGCCCCATGATATTTGAGTGAACACAGATCTGACTTCTGTGGTGCTTCAGGCACAGGCCTGACAATACGTCTATGTTAGCCCATACTCTACCTCCAGGTAGATCATTACCTAGGATAAAAGAAACACCTGGCAACGACATCACCAGTGATCAGCTTAGTGCCTAGGTGGATCTGATGTAAGGGCAGCAGAACAGGAATCATTTCAAAGCCTCTGACAACCACAAGTTACAGTGGCAGTGCTATCGGAAAGTGGCAAACTACCAGAGAAGAATGACTGAGCAGCACCAGTGTCCCTGAGTATACGAACAGGAACACTCTGACTGATCAGGTAGAGAGACCAATCAATACCCCCCCTCCTTCTTCTTCATTATTCTGACCCCGCTAAACTAAATTTAGAGTGCCATTCCTTGGATACTGTCCCCAGTCTGATAGTTCCATTCTCTACACACTATATATATATGACAGAATTCAAGAAAGAAATAAGAAACATGATGAGGGAGGACAGAGAACCCTACTGGGCAAGTTGGCTATATATATATTTTAGCCCAAGCCTGCTCCACTATCTCTCTGGGAGGCCAACTTTCCCAGTAGGGATCTCTGTCCTCCCTCATCATGTTTTTCTTATTTCTTTCTTGAATTCTGTCATTCCCCCAGAGTCATACACAAACAGGGTATATACAGAAATCCAGAGGTTAAATTTAACACTTTTTAATACCTTTTTTAATACTTTCTCAATATTTTTAAAAACCCGCACGGCATTGAGTTGCAACCGTTTTTAAACAAGTTTCAAACTGATTTAAAGATTTATAATGTTACACAATTTTGGCCTGTACAACAGAATTTAAATAGG